AATTAAAAAATAATTATTTAAATAATAATTAAAAAATAGCCATATTTAAATTTTTTAATTTCATTTTTTTATTTTATCTTTAACTTTTTTAATTGAACCATTTGCACAAGATATTTTTATACTAAATAATAGGAAATGCAATTTATGAACATATGGGCAAATCCACAGAACCGGCCGATTTCATGTTACTCACATATTTTTATATTTTAGAAGTATTATATTAATTATTTTCATACTTCAACCATTTTGTAATATCTCTGAGGACCTATTGAAATAAAAAAATTGAATAAATGTGAACCTGCTAGTCTTTTATAAAAAATAAAATCGAATTAAGTAACTTAAAAAATGAAATTTACGGTGTTACTCCAGGTATAAATTTTAATTCTTACAGGTATAACTTGTTCGGCATAGATCCGAACAATTCCAAACTGTGGTGAATTATAGTTTACTTATTGAAGAATGTTTTGAAAGTAATAAAAAATATGCACTCTTAAATAAAAAGAAATGATAGTCGTTGAAAGTAGCGTTACTCATTATTTTATAATAATGAAATGTCTATACATTTTTGTAAACATCTTTTGCGGCGATTATTCGATTTGAATTTTTCAAATTGGAGCTTATTGCTTGTGAACAGACGAACAAATGTATGTATCATAGAATAGAGTGCAATCAGAATTAAAGAAAATATTCCAATAATTATCACTCTATGTTTAAGCGTGAACCATTTTCAACTTAGCCTTTTTTCAGTAGCACAACTACAGGATAAAATATGATGAGTTGAAAACATGTGTGATTATATAAAGGCATTATTATAATTCTTGTATGCAAACGCCAAATTATATTTTCAATTTATAACGTCTAAAAATTAAAAATAAAAAAAAATTTATCGAAATTTAACTAGTTAATCGTGAAAAATGAATTATCCTTTCATTTGTTTTATTTTCAAAGTTATATCAAAATCGATGTCTATAATGTCAGTTTGTTGGTTAAAATAGTTAATATCAAAATTAGTAAGTAAACAATTTAATTTACAGAAATAAAAAATTAAATGCTAATAAATAAAATATATAATAAAATATGATAAAATATAAATAATTTATTTTTGATAATTAAAAAATTAATTATTTGTATTTTATCATATTTTATTATTCAAAATGTTTTGCACATATTTCAAATAATATATAAAAAAAAACAAAGAAATGCCATTTTTAATTATAATTTCCAGAAGAAAAATAATATTTTCGTTTTTGGCTTTTAACTCAAACGGCATTAAAATAAAATGAATCACGCAAGAAGATAATTGTTCTTGAATATATTTTAAAGAAAGTAAACCATAAATAAAAGGTGTGCTTGCTATTTGGAAAATTTTCATCTTGATAAGTAAAAATCGGCCAGTTCTGTGGATTTGCCCATATCCGCTTTTGAAAGGACGTTTAGAAATTAAATGAATAAATGTGACAATAAATGTATAAAATGTTTGAAACTTTATTTCGTGTTGTAGAAATATTTGTACTTTGTAAACTGCTTTTTTTCATAAATATTTTAGGCATAAAAGATTAAACAAATAAAGTTTAAAAAGATAAAAATATTTTTTTTTGGTAAAAAAATTTATAAAATTTTTAATTTCAAAAAAAAAATTTTACATCATTCGAAAGACACACTGAGGAATTTTTTATTTTAATATTATCATGTTATATATTTATTAAATTGTTTATTTATAAATTAAATAAGAATAATAATCAAATTATTATTCTTTTAAGTATTTTTTAAAATAAATTTCCTTTTATCTGGGGTGAAGAACCAAATAGAAGAATTTGCAGTTGTCAAATCTGGCAAAGCTTCAACCTATAATAAAAAATAAAACAAAGTACAACAAAATTGAATTAAAAACAGGCCCTTAAACTAAGGAAATAATGTTCATTTAAAAATTTCGTTTAAAAATTCAATAAAGTAATCCAACAGTAGAATATATTCAAATTAATAGACCTCTGTAAACAAATTACAACTAAAAAATAATTATTATTAAAAAATTTAATGAAAAATAAAAAGAGAAAATTTTAATTTAGCTCTTATAAAATTTAATAACTAAAAATATTTTTAAATTGAAAAATTATCTAAAATTCAACTATTGTCTGGAATTTCTAAAAACATTTAGCAATTCCAATTTATAAAAACTTCAATTTATTATTTTTATAAATTAATTTATTTATAAACATTTAAATTAAAATTAACTTACTGAATGATTAAAGTACCTCCAGCTGACCAAATTTTGTAAAATGGTCCACCGTTTACTGCGTTCAATTACACAGGCACACAAAAAAAAAAAGTTGTCTGTTTCTTGAACTAGACATATATTTCCTATAGTATTTTGGGCCGCTAAAACCGAATCTGAGCTCAGAATTGCTCCATCACCCTCAGTTTTTTTTAAATCGACCAAAACCACCCTTAAACGGACAAATTCACACTTCGGAGATAAAAAATAAATCAACTTATATTTTAAGAAAACCGAATTTTACATCTACGAAACTTTGCTCCACTAACTCAAAAACAAAGCCAGCATTGATCCAGCACCCCCTGAATTTTTTTAATTGAAAAAACTACCCCTAATCTGAAGAATAAAATTCAGGAGATAAAACAATAAAATAACTGATTGACAAATTTTATAACCAGAAAATTATACTCCAGCAAGGCAGAAACAAAGCCAGAAATACTCCCTCACCCTCTAAATTTTTTTTAAATCGAAAAACCACCCTTAAATAGTAAAATTCAAATTTAAGAAGTAAAAAAATATTATATTACCGGCTTTTTTTAAATACAGAATCTTACATGTATGTAGTTTTGCTCTACTAACTCAAAAAATGAAGCCAGCATTGATCCATCACCCTCTGAATTTTTTTAAATGGAAAAAACTACCCCTAATCTGAAGAATCAAATTCAGGAGATAAAACAATAAAATAACTGATTGACAAATTTTATAACCAGAAATTTTTACTCCAGCAAGGCAGAAACAAAGCCAGAAATACTCCCTTACCCTCTAAATTTTTTTTAAATCGAAAAATCACCCTTAAATAGTAAAATTCAAATTTAAGAAGTAAAAAAATATAATATTACCGGCTTTTTTAAATACAGAACCTAACATGTATGTAGTTTTGCTCTACTAACGCAAAAAATAAAGCCAGCATTGATCCATCACCCTCTGAATTTATTTAAATGGAAAAAATTACCCCTAATCTGAAGAATCAAATTCAGGAGGTAAAACAATAAAATAACTGATTAAAAAATTTTATAACCAGGTATTTTTACTCCATCAAGGCAGAAACAAAGCCAGAAATACTCCCTCACCCTCTAAATTTTTTTTAAATCGCAAAACCACCCTTAAATAGTAAAATTCAAATTTAAGAAGTAAAAAAATATTATATTACCGGCTTTTTTAAATACAGAACCTAACATGTATGTAGTTTTGCTCTACTAACTCAAAAAATAAAGCCAGCATTGATCCATCACCCTCTGAATTTTTTTAAATGGAAAAAATTACCCCTAATCTGAAGAATCAAATTCAGGAGGTAAAACAATAAAATAACTGATTAAAAAATTTTATAACCAGGTATTTTTACTGCAGCAAGGCAGAAACAAAACCAGAAATACTCCCTCACCCTCTAAAATTTTTTTAAATCGCAAAACCACCCTTAAATAGTAAAATTCAAATTTAAGAAGTAAAAAAATATTATATTACCGGCTTTTTTAAATACAGAACCTAACATGTATGTAGTTTTGCTCTACTAACTCAAAAAATAAAGCCAGCATTGATCCATCACCCTCTGAATTTTTTTTAAATGGAAAAAACTACCCCTAATCTGAAGAATCAAATTCAGGAGGTAAAACAATAAAATAACTGATTAAAAAAGTTTATAACCAGGTATTTTTACTCCAGCAATGCGGAAACAAAGCCAGAACTGCTCATTGCTGGAGTAAAAATACCTGGTTATAAACTTTTTTAATCAGTTATTTTATTGTTTTACCTCCTAAGTTTGATTCTTCAGATTAAGGGTAGTTTTTTTTATTAAAAAAATTCAGAGTGTGATGGATCAATGCTGGCTTTTTTTTGAGTATTTCTGGCTTTGTTTCTGCCTTGCTGGAGTAAAAATACCTAATTATAAAATTTTTTAATCAGTTATTTTATTGTTTTACCTCCTGAATTTGAATCTTCAGATTTTAGGGGTAGTTTTTTCCATTTAAAAAAATTCAGAGGGTAATGTATCAATGCTGGCTTTATTTTTTGAGTTAGTAGAGCAAAACTACATACATGTTAGGTTCTGTATTTAAAAAATCCGGTAATATAATATTTTTTTACTTCTTAAATTTGAATTTTACTATTTAAGGGTGGTTTTGCGATTTAAAAAAAATTTAGAGGGTGAGGGAGTATTTCTGGCTTTGTTTCTGCCTTGATGGAGTAAAAATACCTGGTTATAAAATTTTTTAATCACTTATTTTATTGTTTTACCTCCTGAATTTTATTCTTCAGATTTTAGGGGTAGTTGTTTCCATTTAAAAAAATTCAGAGGGTAATGGATCAATGCTGGCTTTATTTTTTGAGTTAGTAGAGCAAAACTACATACATGTTAGGTTCTGTATTTAAAAAAGCCGGTAATATAATATTTTTTTACTTCTTAAATTTGAATTTTACTATTTGAGGGTGGTATTTCGATTTAAAAAAAATTTAGGGGGTGAGGGAGCATTTCTGGCTTTGTTTCTGCATTGCTGGAGTAAAAATTTCTGGTTATAAAATTTGTCAATCAGATATTTTACTGTTTTATCTCCTGAATTTGATTCTTTAGATTAGGGGTAGTTTTTTCAATTAAAAAAATTTAGGGGGTGCTGGATCAATGCTGGCTTTGTTTTTGAGTTAGTGGAGCAAAGTTTCGTAGATGTAAAATTCGGTTTTTTTAAAAAATAAGTTGATTTATTTTTTATCTCCGAAATGATGGAGCAATTCTGAGCTCAGATTCGGTTTCAGCGGTCCAAAATACTATAGGAAATATATGTCTAGTTCAAGAAACAGACAACTTTTTTTTTGTGTGCCTGTGTAATGAATAATGGAACAAAGGGATAAAATAAAATTATTAATTTAAAATAATATTTTTTTTAATAATTAACAAAACGAGATGACGATATAACAATAAAATAAATTTTTGATTTTTGAAAAAAAGAAAACTATTTTTATTTCTTTCTTCTTCTTGAAGTAAATTAATTATTAATAAATTATTCTTCTTCCGAATGGATACTTTCAATTTCCTCTTCTAATGTCACTTCGTTTTCTTTTTTTCCCTAGAAAATAAAAATAATTTAACACTTATTCAGGGAAGTTAATACATTTAGAAATTAATAATTATTTTTTCTATCTAAAATGAAGTATATATAACTCACAATAAACGATGATGTCTGTTGCATCATTGGTGTAACCAGCTTTTAATTCCAACATACACCTCCTCTCTACCTACATTAGGTATTATTTCTCTGACTGCCTCTAAAATAACAATAAATAAGGATAAAAATTTATAGATTAATATTCTAAACAATGGTTTTTAAACAGATGAATATTACATTTTAATTTATCTTTACTTAATTGTAATTTTTAATTAAATATACTTATATGAAAATTTAATAATAAACATTTTTTTCAATATTATTTCATAGAAAATATAATCAACGTTGCAACAATATTTCACTAATTTTTTAGATATACAAATTGTGTAATAATAATTATAAAATTCATTATAGAATTATTATTATTAGTATTACTGGTAATCTATAGTAAATTATTACTAAATTATTACTTTTATTAGTAAATTATTAGTATTATAATAATAGTTTTACACTTACTGAATACAAGGAGGTTTATTTTCAGAGGCTTGAAAGCTGGCTTCTTTCTTAGTCTACCCAAAAATGTATAATTTTTCCCTAACTCATACGTAAGAAGTTCATCTAGCTTGTTTTTTATTGTGATTTTAAGGGAATGGCTTCTTCCAATTGAACAAAGAGCATTAATCTAAAAAAGAACTTTAATTAATGAAGTATATAATAATATTTGCCTTAAACATTTAACTCATTTAGCCCTGAATATCCGTTTTTAGGTTTCTTGGCACGCAGGCTACAACCCTTATAGCGAGACTCGTGGGTCCGTCCGTAGATCTTATGCCTTAAGTCTTATGTTTTAAGTCTTATCGAAAAAAACAAAATATCTAACATTGCGAAGAAACCAAAAAATTAATTTTTTTCATCCATTAATGACTTAGAAATAACAATTTATTTATAAAATTGTTTATGAGTATTGATTAAAAGATTTAAAAAATAATATTAGAGAAATAATTTGAACTTCAAGATTTATTGACACTATTATAAAAGATTCTGTGTCAAAATATCAGCTTTTTTTTAATTGTTGATAATTTGTAATTTGTTTATACAAATTGTTAATAATATTGTTAAATAATATTGGGTATCAATTCGACATTTAAAATCTATTCCAACTACAGTAAGAACGGCGACAGAAAAACGGACTTTTTCCAGAAATTAATGATTTTCAAATAGCAATTTCCATTTAACACTATTTAAAGAATTATTTAACACATTGATAAATATTATTCGCTAACAATATTTCGTTATCAATGTTAATTTTACCTTAAGTTTAGTCAATAATGATAGAAAAATATTTCATTTTTTGTTACTTTTCATTTTTTTAAGTATTATGGCGCCCATTGTGGAGGCGCAATTTTTAATTTAAAAAAAAATAAAAATTTTTTATTATAATTATTTTATAGAGTAGACATTAAGAGCTAAATGGATTAATTAGACCTTTAGATAAAAAAGTCGATTATCACATTTTTATTGATTTTGGTACAATTAAATATACTTTTTATATTAATAACTATTAATAACTTACAACTTTATCACGAAAACGTCTTGATTTCATTTTTTCTTCAGCATCCGTAAGTTGCTCTTTATTTGTAACTGGAAATATTCTTAGCTCTTCATCGTCAAAAAAATTTTGAATTACAGGACTGCTTTCTGATTTTTCAGCAATCGATTTCATCATTACATACATAGCATTTATTTTTTTATTGTTTGTTGATCAATTTTTGGACCTGAAGAATGTAAAATATGTTTTATTAATAAATACCGTCATCCGGGGCTAATATGTTAAAAAATCGGAATTCTGGGTTCTATGATTAAACAAAATTCCAATTTTTATAAAAAAATGTTTTAAGGTATATTGTTGACACCCTTTTAAATATTTTCACAAAATTTTATCAGAAAAAATTGTTTATCTTTAGAAAAAATAATTATCTCAGTTATGTTAACTGAAAATTTGTACCATAATAGCCCTAAGTTGGGGAAATCGTGGTGAAAAAGGGGTTTTTTATTCTTAAAATAATGTATTTCAACCATTTATAATTTTTCAAAATTTTAAGAATCTGACTTTAGATTTGTAATCATCGACTTCAAAAATCCTTAGAAACCCATTTTTTAAAAAAATGCAATGATTTTTTAAATAATCATCTGACGTATTGGATCAATCAATCAATTTGTAAAAAAAGTCCCCATTTTAAATTTTCTGATACAAAAATAATTCATTTATACATAAAATCGAACCGCATTATTTTTTGTTTTTCTTTAAAAAGAAACCGCAAGTTAGATGGAATCGTACTCTGAAACTAACTTCCACAAATTTAACGTTTTATCCAATAAACCAACTTAAATATTGGTAGTTTAAAATTTTTCAGAAATATAAAATCTTTAAAAATCTGTATATTTTTATAACTTGTGAATAACCTAAAATTTCAATATGTCAGATTGGTTCGTTGGTTAACCCTTTCGATTAGTAGTTTCAAGTTTTAACTCCGTATTATCTCAATATTATAAGTAATTTTACCTTAAGGGGAGGAAAAGCTGAAATTTCAACCTTTTGAAATTAAGGCTGTTTAAGGTTGTCTATTTTTTGTTAATATTGAATATTTAAAACTGTAATATACTATGTGAAATCGAAAAATAATTAATTCATTAATAATTTATTAAATAGAACTTAAAATTTTTAAAAATCGGAAATTTTAAACTAATATCTCAATTTTTATTATTTTTATTTTTTTTAATTTCATTATTTGAATTTTAAAAAATTCAATTTTTTCAAAAAATAAAATTTCTAATAAATAAAAAACATTGTAACATTTTTAAAAATTGCTGCTTTTAATTTTTCGTAGTGAAGTATGATTTCAGGTTTTAAAATAATTTTAAAAAAATTGTTACCCCTAAATCAAACCAATTATGTTTGGTTTAAATTTTATCAATTATTCTTTAAATTCAACTTCTGCAATTTTAATTATTTTTCATCGGTAATTTTTTTGTAAACTTCTTTCATGATTTGTCTTCTAAAATAGACAAAAATATTTTTTTTATTTTGAAAATTTACAATAATTTTATATCCCAAATAAAGGTATGAAAAAATTGACACCCCTTGACAACATTAATTTCGATGAGTTGAAATTTCACCGGTCCCTCTCTTTGAAGCGGACATTTTAATGTTACTATAATTTTTAATTTAGTTACTTTTACTACTTAGGAAATAGCTATTACCTTCCGTGTGAGAAGACTCAGATGAATCTGTGCGAGAAGTATTATGACTCGTATTTTGATGCGCAGATTACGAAAATTATAGTGAAAATTGGCGCATAATTGATTATCATGGTGAAAACAATAAAATTACGGTTTTTTGCAATTAATCGTAAAAAACGCAAAATTTCTAAAAATGTTTTAGACAAAAGTTGTAGGTCTCAAAAGAATATACAATTTTTTTACCAAAAGTGATTATTCTGCGAGAAAAAAGAAAAAAACCAATCAAAAATGATGGAAAAACAGTGCACATCATAACTAGAGAGAAATTTGGATCCCACCCGACTTTGTCTGCAGAATACTTTCGGCCGTATCCGACCCCTCTCGCCAAGGTTTCTTTAAAATTGACACCGGTCACTGTAGAGGGAGTAACTGGGCAACGGCCAAATCTATTTTGCTTCATAACCAATGGGCAGTATTCAAAGGTACAGCGAAATAGTGGCAAAGTAACTTTAAATTCATTAAAGTTGGGTAAAGAAAAGAAGAGCGATTGTTTGATTGTTTAATTTTTTAAAAAAGAGAAAGTAGTTTGTACTCCAATATCGAGAGGAAACCAACTCGATCCGGTGTATGTAGTAGTTCCGAGAGGAAACCAGCTCGGTATTATGTGTAATATACTGATATTGAGAGGAAACCAGCTTAATATAGTATGTGTAGCTAGGTATCGAGAGGAAACAAACTTGATACCGTGTGTGTGTAATGTATCCGAGAGGAAAACCAGCTCGGTACTATGTCGCACAATATACTACTATTGAGCGGAAAACCAACTCGATATAGTAGTGATGTGTGAGAGGAAAACCAACTCGACACTGTGTATGTGTAGTGTAGCCGAGAGGAAAACCAGCTCGGTATTGTGTGTAATATACTGATATTGAGAGGAAACCAGCTCAATATAGTATGTGTAGATAGGTATCGAGAGGAAACCAACTCGATACCGTGTGTGTGTAGTAGTTCCGAGAGGAAACCAGCTCGGTCGTAAGCCAATTCGAGAGGAAACCAGCTCGATTTTGGATTGTTGAGAGGAAAGCCAGCTCAACAATGAGTTTAGAAAGGCTCTAGTATCGAGAGGAAACCAACTCGATACGTAGAATGTTTTGCGTCTGAAAGTGTAAAACGTTAGAGTCGGAGGGGGGGGGTAGCGTTGATTGAAACGAGTCAATGTATGAGTGATCGTTTATTTTAAAAGTACAGTGTGTCGAAAAAGTTTAAGTCCCACAAGGGCGAAAATTTCTAAGTACCAATATCGAAGAAATATTCTAAGTCGGAGATTCGGAAAAATTTCTAAGTTCGATGACTAGAAATTTTTCTAAGTCCAACAACTCAGAATTTTTCTAACTATTGAGTAGTGTTAGCGGTAGGTCAGGCTAGGCAGGGGAGGAAAGCCAACTCCAAGTGAGAGAGGGCAAAAATCAGCGTTCGCGTTTCTTACTCTCGACGCAATCTGAATGCGCGTACGGTTCACGCGTTTCGCTTGAGCCAAGGGTCAAGTTGCGCGTCTTTTTGCGAGACTTGCTCTATCTTCAAGATTCTCTCATATCCCTGCTTAACCATTCCTAATTAACCTAATTAATATATCTAATTAACAATTAATAAAATTAATATCTTACTTAATAAGTGGGATATATGATAATAATATTATTATATTAAAATATAGTTTATTAATATAATATGTTGCAAATACGGATATGTATGTGTAACATATTACATATTTACTATAAGTTAACAATGTAATATTATCCGTATTAAACACACACACATATATATATACAACATTATAAATTATAAATCACTATAACAATAATATCCACTATTAACAATTAACAAATAATAATTAATAATAATAATAAATATAATAATATATAATATATAATATTAATAATAATAATTATTGCAATAACAATTATAATTAATAATTAGTTAATAATAATTTATTATGATACAATAATTATTTATAATAAATTATGCTATAAATGATCTACAAGATATAAAAACCACATCTAACTTCGAACATAACCTTTTATTTAAATAAATAATTGAAAATTCGGCTCGGAAAAGTATCCGGCGAACAGAAGGTTAAAAGAAGTGGCGCGAGGAAAGCAAAGGGCCTGTCGCGTTAAGAGTGGGAGGTGCAAGGATGAATAGAGATGGGCCGTAAGGCGAAAGAGGAGAGAGCGAATGGAAAAAGAGTGGAAAGCGTGGAGTGAAAAGGGGCGCGCCGATATTTGGAAAAAATGTAGAAAACGAGTTACCAATGACTCGGCTAAGGACAAGAAATTCATGAAGATATAGCAAAGTTTTTTGCATTCTTCATGAATTCTCGTTACCCCATCAGTGACATGTATCAAAATGCAAACGAGCAAAGCTATACGCGAGGAAAAACGCAACGCGGCCGTATGCTGCATAACTTTTTTTGTCGCAGATCAATTTCCCCCATAACCTACCCCTCTCGCCAAGATTTTTTTAAAATACAAGCGAACAAAACTCTACGCGAGTAAAAACGTAACGCGGACAACTTCTTTTGTCAATGGTATTCGAAGTTTTTTGAACTTTTCTCAAAAACTAATCAGTTTGGGTGAAAATGTATACGACATAAAATGTGTGTTCTTTTGAGACCTACAACTTTTGTATACAACATTTTTCGAATTGTTGCGCTTTTTACGAGTTTAGTATAGTTAATTTTTTTTGTTTTTCAGTAAGGAAGACGATGGTATACTGTAAATTTTTTAATAAAGTGATAAGAAATGTGAAAGCAATTGTAAAAACTATCTATAAAAAATAGAAATTTTTTGCATTTTGCGTCGGGTGCATAACCACTCAAGTTTTTCATTCTAGGGTTATAAATGAATTATTAAATAAATTATTTTTATAAAATTTTTTTAATTTGGAGAAAAATAAAAAATTAAATGTTAATTTTCAATTAGAATTTATTATTTTAATTTATGTAAAATAATATTTTCTATTGATGTGATAAAATTATATTGAAATAATTAAAAAATGGTTACAAAACTTGATTTATGATAGAATATAAAAAATTTAAAAAGATTGATCTTAATATCTTGATTGCATTATCTCTAAAAATTGCTTTAGAAAATGACGCTCGTCATTACAGTTCCCTCCTTTCTTTATTAAAGTACTTATTAATTAACATATAAATTAAACTCTTTTCATTACAGATATTCTACATTAATAATTTTTGTAGTTGCTGAAAATTCAAACAAGAACCTACTGCTAAGAGGAGGAAGGTAAATAAGATTCAGCAACGTGAAAAACGCGAGCTGAAACGAAAGTCATGTTTCATCCAAGACGAAAAAGGAGACCACGATTATGTGGTTACTCAACACGTCATTTCAGACGAATTATTAATAATGAAGTAGTAGATCAATAAAACTGGAAGTTCGCAGTTTAGTGGTACCGATTCTGAAAGTGATATTGAAAAATCATCAGCCCATGTTTCAACACCAGACACTATTAAAAGGGT